GTGACATTCAGTAAGGGGCGTGGTCTATGCTCTGCCAGAGAGGGGCGTGGTCGAGAGGAGCGGCGGCCCCGGTGTCGCTGCGGCCGTTGCCGAGGCGCCAGCCAATGGGCGGGCTCGTTGCTGCGAGGCGGCAGCCAATGGCCGCGCGCGTTGCTGTTGCCGGGCTGCCCGTACCGGCCGTGCCGCGGCCGTCCCGGGGCGATGCCGGTCCCGGCCCTGCCGGGCCATGGAGATCCGCTGCGGGGGTCTCCTCTTCAGCTCCCGCTTCGACTCGGGCAACCTGGCACATGTAGAACAGGTGCGGCCTACAGAGCCGGGGGGCGGCCCCGCCGCCCGGGCCAACGCTCTGCCCGCCGCCGACTACGAGTTCAACGTGTGGACGCGGCCCGACTGCGCCCACACGGAGTATGAGAACGGCAACAGGTACCGCCGCGCGGGGATCCGGCAAGGGGCTCTCGGTACCGGCGGGGGCCGGGCTGCGCGTGGATTCCCCCGGAAGGGTCCTGGCGGGGCCGGGAGTGGCCGGTGCGGCTGGGGCTGTCGGTGGAAGGGGCGGCGGCGGGGCTGGGGCAGCCGGTGGCGGCAGAGGCGCCCTGGGAGGGGGCTCGGGGGGTCTGACAGGCTCCGGCGGTGCCGAGAAGGGGGAGTGCCTCGGGAAGAGGAGCGGTGGGGCCGGGGTCTGAGGAAAGGGGCTGCGGTGCCCTGGGAGGGGGCTCCGGCGGTTCCGCCCCCGGCGGGGCTCTGAGAGCTCCCGGTGGGGCCGGGGGGGTGCAGAGGCAGCGGGGAGCTCGGGGAGCCCGGGCAGGGCTGAGGCGGCGCCGCTCCTCCCGTCCGCAGGTCCTGGTTCTACTTCAGCGTGCGGGGGGGAGCCCCGGGCAAGCTGATCAAGCTGCACATCCTGAACATGAACAAGCAGAGCCGGCTGTACGCGCAGGGCATGACCCCCTTCGTGCGCACGCTGCCCGTGCGGCCGCGCTGGGAGCGCATCCGGCAGCGCCCCAGCTTCCAGGTGAGAGCCGGGAGCGCCCCGAGGGGCCGGGCACCGGGCAGCCCGCTCTGCGGCACCGCCACGCTCCGCTTCCTGCGCTGGGCTGAGCCCCGCGTTCTGCCGGCTCGGCCGAGCAGCTGCTGTGTTCCTGGCATCTGCGAGGGAGGGAGGCACAGGAGCAGCAACAGCTGCTGTGCCACGGGGAGAGCCAAGGGCCAGCGCCAGGGCACTGCTGGGGGCCAGAGGAGAGCAGCAGGGCTGTGCTGGGCTGGCTGTGTCCCTGGGCTGTGTCCATCCCTCTCGGTGTCCCAGAGGAGAGCAGCAGGGCTGTGCTGGGCTGGCTCTGCCCCTGGGCCATTCCCAGCCCTCTCCCCGGTGTCTGTGGCAGGTGGTGGAGGCGCAGTTCGTGCTGTCCTTCGTGCACCGCTTCCTGGAGCACCGCGGGGCCACCACCTACTTTGCCTTCTGCTACCCCTTCTCCTACACGGAGTGCCAGGACATGCTGGCACAGCTGGACGGCCGCTTCCAGGACTGCAGGCACATGTCCCCCAGCAGGTGTGCCCCCCACTTTCTCCTTCCTGGCTTTTGCCCCCACCTTCCTGGCCCTCACACCTTTCCTGGCCTGTGCCTGCTTGGGTTGTTTTCCCCTGGGGAAGCTCTGTCTGCAGCAGGAGGATCTTTGTGCCCTCCCCATAGCTGCCTGGCCCGTGCTTCTCTGCACCCCAGCTCTGCACAAACAGCTCACCCTAAGCTACCTCCGGGATTCCAGAGGATCCCTTGCTGTTCTGGAGCCCAGTCCCTACTGCCAGAATGGGTTACCACCCTGGTGGGATGAATCCCTCAGTGCCCTGTGCCTCCTGCTGGGAGGCATTATCTCTGGATGGGATGGCCTGACCCTCTGTGCCAGTCTGTCTGTGCCTGAGCTGATCCCCCACTGCTCCCACGGCTGGGGGGCTGGGCAGGGCAAGCCCCAGCCCTGGGCCCCCCTCCTTACCCTGCAGGAAGGGCTGCTCGTGCTCCCAGCAGCAGAGCCCAGATGTGGGGGTGGGCCTTGTGGGGCTGGGGCTGCTCAGCCCCCGGGGCTGTGAGTGTGGGCAGCGTTCCCAACCCAGCCCCTGGGGCTGGCTGAGACCCCTTCTCCCCCACAGCCCCCTCGACTCGGTCTATTACCACCGGGAGCTGCTCTGCCACTCTCTGGACAAGCTGCGTGTGGACCTGCTGACCATCACCTCGTGCCATGGCATGCAGGAGAAGCGGGAGCCCCGGCTGGACAAGCTTTTCCCAGACACCAGCACACCCCGGCCTCACTGCTTCACTGGAAAGAGGGTGAGAGACCACGCTGGGCTGGGCTGGGCTGGGCTGGGCTGGGCTGGGCTGAGGGCCAGCAGCCCCCGTGGTGGCCCGTGTGTTGGCACCTTTCTGCAGCCCCCGTGTCTGTGACCAGAACGGCGTTGTGGCCCCAAGGGCTCGAGCGTTTGGGCAGAGTTTGTGGAGCAGAGTCTGAGACCCTTCATTATCACAATATCCTGGGGCAGGCAAGACACCCCCTCACCCCGTCTGTTTGTCCCCAGGTGTTCTTTCTCAGCAGCAGAGTCCACCCAGGAGAAACCCCCTCCAGCTTCGTCTTCAACGGCTTCCTGGACTTCATCCTGCGGGAGGAGGATCCCCGTGCCCAGATGCTGCGGCGCATGTTCGTGTTCAAGCTCATCCCCATGCTGAACCCCGACGGGGTGCTGCGGGGCCACTACCGGTGAGTGCAGGGCCTCCTGCCTGGGAGCCTCCTCTGGGGTCCAGGGAGTCACTCGGGCTGGAAAAGTCCTCCCAGAGCACTGAGTCCAACCGTTCCGCCAAGGAAAAGAAGCAGGAATGGTTTATTTGAGTATTGTTTGGTAGATGT